CTTTGATTATCCCAGTAGGGAATTGATAAAAGTGTTTATCACCTTGAACTCACTGTTTATTGCCCCATTAAAAAAACAACACAGGGACATTACCAGCTACCTGTTGATTCTACCTGTTGATTCAGCACAGACCATAGCCAGCATGTGATCTGCTAACTAATACACAGACACCGCCTCAGCAAGGCAGAGGGGAGAGGGGAATTCCTGCTTAACAGGGAGTGGTGAGGGGGAGGAGGGGATCAGACCAGTCTGTGCTGGAGCTTCAGGCAGGGAACAGACGGGAGGGGCCAGCCCTGCTGTGGAGCAGAGAACCCCGACCAGCCCAGAGAGCATGCTGGGATGCTGGGGGTGTTTGGTTTAGCTTAAATCAGCAAGAAAGGAGTTTGGGACAGACATTGCATAAACCAGTTTGACCCAAATCAGTTAAACCTGGTTGAATGTAGTATTAGACTTATCTCAGATCAGTTTTAGGCATTTCTAAACTGTCTTATGTGCACTGAACATCTGTTCTGTTACAAGTTTAAAACAGTTTCTGAACAATTAAATCAGTTTGTGTAATGTCTGTCCCTACCCTTTGGGAGCTGTATCACCTTAACTGTACCAGTAGAGATAAAATCTTACTATGCTGTTCTCAGACTCATATATGTTGCTGTTTATGGGATGGAATAGAGAGTCTAACGTATTGCTTCTTTCAGTTAGGCTTTTTTAAAGACCCTTTTTAATTTCAGTTATTTTTTTTTTAGAAAAATCATTCTTGAATCATAATTATTTGATATTGCAAAATGTAAGGGAATTGTCAAAGTGCCCTGCTAATATCACATTTTTTTCTTTTTTCCTATAAGATTTTTTTTTACTGTTAGCTCTTTGATATAAAAATATATGATTCACTAGGTGCAACAATATGACATATTTCTATTTAAAAGAGAACTGTGACTATGAAGCTTAAGCTGACTTTTGCTAGTTCATACTTTTTGGGTAGCATTGTGTGTGTGTTTATTTGGGGTTTTTAGATACTGTATTTGTTCCTTGTCTATCACAGGAAGAGAAAGGAACATGGATTTTATATATTATAAAACTTGAAATCCTACATATTTCATTTACACATGTATTTACAAAAAATATTTTTGCACATGTACAAAACTCAGGTATAAAAAGGTACAGGTTTATTCAAGAAGCAGAAAGTTGAGGTACACACAATAATACAAAAACACACAAAATAATTCAGATATTTCCTATGTTTTTCCTAGTCACTAAAGGTTACTTACATATAGGAGAATCCCTCTTGAGTTGGCCAGATTTTGGGTTGCAGCTCAGGGTGATGGTCAAAGTTATATTATTAAAGTTTTTGTGATTGCATGACATGCATTTATAATGTATATGTGATACTGAAACTAGATTAACTTTTTAAATAAAAGTGTTTTTGTACCATAGAATGATATGCCATAACATATGCAAAATAGTGATTTGTAAAGGTAAAATAAATTGTCCCCAATCTACATTTGATTGCCACAGATTTTCCAATTAAAATTTTGATTTTAAGAGTGTGTGGTTATTTATGAGATTTAGTTATATGAGAATATTCTTTCCTTGTTTCATTGGCTACTTCTACTATGCAATCGGTGTATGTGTACATGCTATTAAAACCATGACAAGCAGGTAGTACTCTGATTTAGTGTAGTTGTAATTTAAAGTCTCCCTTCCAGGGATGTTCTAGGATATACTTAATACTGCTTCACTGGAGGGGTTGAAATAGACAGTCCTTTGACTGTAGCTGCATTTCTGTGATCAGGTGACCTCCTGCTTTTTTAAAATAAATACAGAATATTGGTGATTGATTCAAGGATGAAGAGCAAATGCTGCAATTTTAGGGGATTACTTGAGTCTGATTAGGGATGCAAGCATGAGTGGGATCTGGCATAAAACTTTCAGAGGGACTTCTGAAAGACAGCAATAACTCATGAAAACTAAATAAAATGCTGTAAAGGAAGTCAACCAATTTGCACTAAAGACTTTTGAAGGTGTATGGTGAGGTAACATCATAGATCTGCTAGAGAATCCACGGCACTATAAAAAAAAAGAGACTTGAGGCAGAAAGGAAGCTGCTGTTCCAAGTCTAAAAAAAAAAAAAAAAAGGGGGGGGGGGCAAATACATCTGATACATGCTATGGAAAACAACACAAGCCAAATCAATATGAAACATCTGGAAAACTGCAAGAACAGCAGTGGATTTACCTCACAGTGTATTAATAGTTTACAAGTGACAGCAGAGTGTGCAGAGCTTGGACAAGGGTAATAATACCACCAACACCAGTTCTAGTGGATTTTTTCATAGCGCCAATGATTAGTATTTCAATCAAACATAAATAAACTGGAACAGCGAGCTCCTGGTTGGTGGTGGCAAGTAGGGGTGTGAAAAACGGGCCATTTTTTATTTGGATTTGGATTCAGCCTGAATCAGGGAGAGTGACTTGATTTGTTGGTTTGGATCACTGTCCCTGATTTGATTCAGCTGTATGCAAATCTGAAAATTAAGTGGCAATTCAGAGAATCAGTGATTCAGCCATAAACACAGCTTTAAATTTTTTTTCTACATAGCGCAAGGTACCAGGCACACCTTATGAATGCTGTGATGCTGGGGCAGATGGACTGTCCCACGGGAGTGGGAGTGGGGGGGGAGGGACGCATGCTCAACGGTGAACATGGAAGGGGACCAGAAACACTTTTAGTCCTCTTCTGGGTCCACCAGGCAGCATACTGGGCCCCCTCCCCCCCGCATCCACCTGACTCAGCAATCAGCCATGGGGGGACCCTGGGTGCCCCCAAGACCCAGGAGGCACCAGTTGCCAAGTCAGGAGGCTGTGGGGGGGGGCCCCAGTGCACTCCCCAGTGGACTGGAAGTGCTTCTGGTCCACTTCCGGGTCTGCCACTAGGCCCACTGGGGAGGGAAACACACTCCTGAGGAACACTCCATGCACCCCAGCATCTCAGTATTCACAAGCCACCTGGCACCTTGAAGTATGTAGAAAAAAACATTTAAAGCTGGGTCTATGTCCAAACTGTTGAATCCTTCCGAATCTCTCCAAATCAATTCAGAGGGTTCCAATTAGATTTGGAGAGATTAAAGGGTCTCCTGATTTGATGAGGATTCAGAGATTCAGCCACTGAATTGGGCCAAATCTCTGCTGAATCAGACTGGGGACCACAGCATTGCACAGTCCTAGTAGCAAGCAGTGCTGCAGCCCCCAGGACACTGAAAGCTGCAGCATGCACACTGATAGCCTAATGTCCCAAAATGTAGTGCTACAGAGAAGTTACTGTTTCATCTAGCAAAATTTTTAATACTTGTGCCATCTATATAGTACTACAGGGGGCATGTTCACCTGTCTCTTCAACTTCTATAGCACTACAAGGGTGTCCATAGTGCTACAAATGTTATATCTGTCCACACCCTCAGTTGGGAGGAACTTGCAGGTCCATAAAGAGATAGGTAAAGGAAAGCTAACAATTCTGTATGATTTGGGCTCCTGAAAACTGTTACTTCTTTATGAATATGTGTGGATCTGCAAGGAGAAATAATGGCTGCAAATTGTAATAGTGGTACTGTTTATTAGTCATATGAGGCTGTTTCTCTACATGGGTGCACAGAATTATAGTCATGTAAAGACTGGAAGGGCCCGCACAAGAACATCTAGTCCAACATCCTTCTCAGAGATTTACTTCAGAATGTCTTAGATAAGCTTACAACCACAATAGGTCAAAATGGCTGAGGGCATAAGACAGCCCAAATAAATGGAGTTACTAGTGCCCTACAACAGTGGTACTGATATCTTGGGAGAGACCAGCAGAACACTGGAATAGTACATGGCATCACTGAAACTACTTGAACATTGTTATTTAGCTCTTAGCAGGTAGAGTACGATTCGTGGCAATGCAGAATGCAGAAAAGGCAGTAAAGACATGACCAGAATGAAACAACATTTTGTAACTTTCTTTGGGTCTGAGTGACTTCTGAACACAGCAGTTCAATCTGCAAGTAAAATGTCCAAAATAACTTGACTATATTAAAGTGTTACTAATTTGGACCCAAATATGTTCCTACTAAATCCAGTCAATGTTTTAAGTAAGCAGGAGAAGGGTCATTTTATTGTATTATAATAAAGAAAAATTAGTTGAACATCTTTCTATTTTTCTGCTGCTCTTCAGAATTGCACCCAAATTGAGTTTGAAGAAAGTAATAGAAAGACCTTTGGTTCAGGACTTGTGTGCCAGGGTTTATTCTTGCAAGCGTTTGACAGCTAAAGCTGCTGCGCTATGTACAGCTGAATGCTTCTTCCTTTCACACTGCTGCTCAGTGGCAATGCTGTTTTTCCTCCCTTAAGGTCCTCAATAGACTCCTTGCTGCTTTTACCTTCAACTGTATAAAGTAGGATTCTCTTAATATTGAGCACTTCTCAATATTCTAATGAGTGATATTATAAAGGTACCATTCCTTGCATAGATTTCCCAGATCTGGACCTACCCTTTTGTCAGTGGAACAACATTCATTTTGTTACAAGACGGGTGTCCACAAATACAAGAGGTAGGCAGGATGTTGATTGGCAAATATAGATAATTTATGTAGTTATCTTTTGCTTTCTTCAAAACTGTTGTTTGGAGTTTTCAGAAGGTTTCAATAATCAACCTCCTTCTACACTGTTCCACAGCTTCAGCACATGTTTGACTACTGCCTAGAAAAATATCATATATCTTCTAGCTTGACACCTACTGCATACTTATTTTTAAACATATTTTGAAAATCTGGTTGTCCTTCCTCTAATTTGTATGCATGAAAAGGTTTGTGTATAATGAGAGTTCCTTTTATTTTCGTTTGCTGTTCAATTAGCATTTGCTAATTCTGGACCCCAGGCCAGATATTACATATATACTTCTGGTATTTTTTTTTTCCTGGACAGTGGTTTCTCCCTTAAATGACACACACATATTTATATTATTGCTTGTAGGATGGAATGGGGAACCTGAGAGTCACCAAAAAAGGAATACGACTTGAAGGTGTATCTGAATTTCTACTTCCACTTTATGTGAAAGAAATCCACTCCCGAAAGGTAAGTTCCTGGCTTCTTTTTTACTTTATTTACAGATTATAGGATAGTGGGGCTGGAAGGAACCTAACAAGATTAATTTGTCCAGGCCCCTGCTCAAGGTAGATCATTCAAATGATTAGCATGTTCAGACTAAAACTACAGAATATGATTCCCACACTTTCCATGGTGGCATTGAATGGAGGTTTGCTCTGAAAATACCTTACGTGGTATTCTACAAGTGTATATACGTATGTATAACAATTTCCTGTACAGAAAGCTCTTTAAAGAACCAAAAGTCTCCTATACTGCTAATGATGATTTTAACTAGTGAGTGGATATATACACTGGCATCTGGAACTGTTGAATTTCTCTGTTATGATATAGAACATACTATCCTTCATCTGAGATGAGAAGCTAAAACATGTATATTTATTCTTCAGGAGAGGTCCTCAGTAGTGTGAATAGAGCCTTTGATTCTTCTCCTTTGATGTGAACTTAGCAGTCAAATTCCACCAATAATAAAAAGACCTGCAAAATGAGCAATTTTATACATACTCAGGTAGTTCAACTTGAACCCATTTGAGCTTCAGCTACTGTTCTTTTTCCTTAAGTCCAGAGAATTGTATTAAAACTGGATAATGTACACTAGAATGGGATTTGTACATAGCAACTTATTTATAATATTGCTAAAATGTAATTGTTTTATCACTTAGCAGATCATTATAAAACATGTTAAATCAAGACATTCTATATTCAAGAGTTCAGCACAGCTCATTTTGGCTCAGTCATGTTGGCTTGTAGCTCTCCTAGATATATTTAAAAATATTGTAGTATTTGAATTCTATTAAGTTCTTGCTGCCATACAAGTGCTAACCTACAATCAGACAGAAATGTTATAATGTGTTTTAGTCAATGGACTACAGAGAATTTTAATGTGTATAAAGTAAAATGTGACAAGAGTGAAGAGATATTTGGAAATATATTAACACCATTAGAGAGCTCTCCGAAAAAGTCTCTTCTCTTACTGTCTGCAGAGTTCATCTGTGTGTGTATTAAAATATATCAGGGAACTACAGGTTATGGAAAAAGTCTACACCTAAATTTGTAGTGATAAGTTTTTTGTATCTTCTTAATTATTATACATGCCATTGTTTAAATATTCACTTGAAATGAACACTTAACAGTTCTGCCTCCTGTATCTATAAGACCAAAACCTTGTGATTTTTTTTTTTACAAAGTAGCAAGTGTTGGCATGGCAACAAAACAATCATGTAATAGTTTATCAGTCTGCACATTAGCCAAAATATAGTTGTTTATTGAACAGAAGATCACCTTTGAATTTGTTATTCACAATCAGTTTGATTCCTTATTAAGGCTTGCTTGTGAAGAAATATTCCTTATGAAATGGATACTAAAAATAGGAAAAGGTAATTAAGACAACGTCTATTAGTAAACTTTCAGTAACGAACTGCTGAAGTGTATTTAAAAATGCAAATATTGTAACTGATATAGATCATGATAGAGTGAAAAATTAAGCTTACAAAAACGGTTTCTATATATTTCATTAAACAATTTTTATTAAGAATAACTATAATAAGGCCTTTTCTTTCTTCTAATTATGAAAATACTTCTTTGGGTAGAATTTCATGCTTCAAATAATTATTTTCAAAGTATCATGCTATCAGAAGGCATACGTCCTTCTAAAAATAGTTTCCTTATAATTCTACCATTAGTCTCATGCTTATTTTTGAAACTCTAAGATCTTTCTTATTAATTAATTCTAACTTTTATTTTTTTCCAAAAGAGACAATGGAAAATTATTTATAACATTTCAAGGGTGCTTCCAAGATCCTGGTGTAGAAAATAAGGATGGGAGGCGGAGGGCATTCTTTAAAATTGAAGAATATTTAAAGCATGCTTTCCAATAACTTAAAAATGAGTTATGCAGCATTATGACCCAACCTAACCAATATGAATTTTCAAATTCAAAAGTTATGGAAGTTCTATGAATTCCCAGGCTGCAAAAACTACAATAATGTAATATCCTTTTCCCCCAAAGTCTCAGAGTGGCAGCATTAAACGTCCCATGATAATTCCTCTCTATAATTGATATTTGTGATTCTAGCCAGCTTAAGTATGAAGTAATTAAGATTCTGAGATTTTATAACTATTTACTTGGTCCTACTACAACCAATAAGTGAATTTGTTTCTCAAATAAAGTTCATCAAAGTAATGTCAGTAGGGCTAGGATTTCCTCCAATGCTGTTACTCCAAAAAACCTGACTTTTAAGTACAGTGGCTAAATATAACCCAAATTAATGTATTCTGTCAAAGTAAGATAGAAGGTTATGTTAGGTCCAGTTGTCAATATAGGAAGGTTCAAGATTGGAAAGACAGGCCTAGCCTAAACCCACACATAAGAAGGAAAAGACCGTGTCTCTGCATAGCTCACAACTGAGGTTTTGGTGTAAAGCTGGTGAAGTTTTTCAAATGAAACTCTTTCAGCCAAAAATGAAGATTAGGCAATACTCAATCATTTATAGTAACTAATTTATATAAAAACTGTGAAATTGTTTCAGGGATAAAAATAGTCCAACATAAAATTCCAAAGAATACAAACATTTGTCTTGTATAGTTTTTTTACTAAGGATTTCAATGTTTTCTCTTAAATAAGGGAAAAATTCTTAATTTTATCTTAATTAGCACAATTATAAAATATAATGTTGTGACATTTCAGTTCAATTACAATTTAAAACGGATTCATTTTCAGAGTTTTTACTTTTTGAAACTACTAATAAATCAAAATGCCTCTTCCACAGCATTACCTTAGAGCACATTTTCAGTGGTTCTAGGCCAGTATCACATGCCAACCCATGCCAATGTCACATGCCAACCCATTCTGTAGGGCAATTCCAGTCATAAAATTGTCCTGAAATTTTAAATACTTTAACCATATTAGCTCCCCCTTTTCTTCCCAACATAACATGTTATTTTATGTACCCAGAATTCAGTCTAGAAAATGTTCCAAATTTTAATTTATCAGTCCTTCCCATTATTGGTAAGAGATGTTGATATTTATAAAATAGAAATAATTATATGACTAAAAATGTTTGGCTCTTAAGATTGAAAGAATATAGGTTTTACCTGTTTTCTCTTTCCCTTTTTTGATTCATATTTTATCTAGATTAGGAAAAAATATAAGAAGTCTCTCTATAATTAAACCTAGAGAATAACATTCAACTCTTGTAAAGGACTAACCTCAAATTCAAAGAGTATCCATGTGAATAGAACATATGGTTAAATGCTAAATTGCAGCCAGGCTGGAAGCAGCTGGTTGGATACTCTTCTCAAGCCCTTAGGGAAATTATTATTTAAACCATATCCCTTTGAAATGGGTCTTGAAAATGCAAATAAAGAAATGCTTTAATTTATTGTCTTTCTTAACCATTATTTGAGCAAAAAAGATACCTTATGTGCTGCACTTGGAAATTGTAAGGTTACTTACTCATTTCTTCCTTGTGACTATAAGCCTGGCAATTTGCTTGCAAAAATTGCTGTGCGTGTTATCTGTTATCTTATTAGCAACATAAAACATATTGTGATAAGGATGATAAAGCAGGAAAGCAAGATTTTTTCCCCTCCTTTTCCTTGGGACAGGATAGCCTGTGGTATAATAATAATAATATAAGTGTGGTTCACCAAGGAATGAAAGATTCAGCTTAATCTGAGGACATTGCAGTTTTCTCAATGTGTATGTGTGCGCGTGTGGCTTATTTATTTTCCACAGTGTTGGAAACAACCTTTCAAAGTCTAGTATTGCTTAGTTATACAAATATTCCCTTTTTAAGCATATTTGTTGTTTTTTTTCCATTAAAAGACACTAACATTGGGTGGTTGGTGGTTTAATATTTTTGCTGACAGGTGGTGAGGTTGTGACAGGACTTTTTTTTAGAACTGGTATGTTTTCTTTGCACAGGGAAGTAAGCTATAGAAAGATCACATGAGAGCTTCTGGACACATTCCAGAGCACTTTCCAGCAACACTTCATTGGTTCTTGTTACCTAGGGAAAAGCAAAATTGAGTTGGGGAAAAGCAAGGTTATTTTCAGTGTGACACTATTGCTGTATCACAGTGGTACTCAACCTCCAGCCCATAGGCCAGATCAAGCCCATTAAGCCATGTGATCCTGCCTGCAGGGCTCTTCACATGGCCAGAAGTTTGACAGCAGAGAGGACCAGTGGCAATTATTAACATTGCTACCCTCTCATAACACCAAACTTCCAAGCTCCATGGGCCAGCTGACTTGGAACAATCTGGCAAGGGGCCCAATTCCACATGCCCCAAGCTGTCCCTTCAAGCTGGATCAAGCACCAGCAAGGCTGGCCTCGTGCTGGATAGATCAAGCCCTGGGGAGGCCAAGCCTGCATCCTGCTGGATCAGGCCCCAGTCAGGAAAGACCATGGTGGATCAGGCCTTGTATTAGCCCTGCATCACTTCCAGCCTGCAGGCTTGGAAAGTTGTGTAGCACTGCTCTATTGAAATCCAAAGATGTGATTGAAACTTACGTAGCGGTGCCTAAGCTAACTTTAAACTGCCTGGATCATATAGGCTAAGTACAGATGGTCAAAAAGCCCAAGAAGGATTGATTCAGTCTTCACAGTTTAGTCTTATCTATATAGATTGAGCTGATAAGCAAGTGAACAGACATTCATTTTTGATTCAATAAATGCAGCCATATACCTGCAGTGCCCCAGGCCAGAAGCTTGGGGAGGGGTGTGCTACAGCACACCTTCCTGGTTGGTTGGAGCAGACAGTGTGGGCCAAGGCTAGCTCACCCACCCTGAAAGGGGTGTGGGGGTGGGGGAGAGTGCAAAGAATCCTAGGGTGCTGGGCAATTGAGTTAACTTGAATTAACTTGAATCTGGAGTGGATCTGGGACAGAATCTGGTTTCACCTAAATCAGTTAGGTCTGATCCTGCAGTATCCAGGTTTATGTTAAACCAGTTTCAGCCACTTTGAAA